TCAGATTTGCAGCCCTTTCCCAGAGCTGAAATCCAGCCTTCTGCACTACAGCCTATGTAAAATGAATTCAGTTCACTTAGGCTGTATTTTTAGGACACTTGATGGCTCTTGATGCTTTTCTCTGGACTTTTTCAGTTCGTATGCATCTTTTTTGTTGTTGTTGTTGTCTGTTTTGTCCACAATAAATGCAGACTGCAGACAAATTCTTACCACTGTTGGATAGAGAAGCATCTTCTGTCTTGACATGAATGAGCTTTAAAGAGAAAGTCACTGGTCTTTGACACTTGGGACACCAAGTGAATTAGTGTTTCTAAGAGCTTTTTTTCTTTTCAATAATTTGGCTTAATGCAGCTATGAAAGTTGTTTTTTTCCATTTCTGTACTTTCAGTGCAGCGGGTAAGCAGAGTGGAAATGTCCTTCTGAATACATTGGTAGAAATTAAACTTAGGTTGTTTGAACAGGGTCATTTACAACACGCTTTTGAGTAGCACAAGGCACAGTATGAATCTGTATTTAAACTAACGGAATTGAAGAAAACTTCAGTTTTAGCAGCAAAAGGTGATTTTTATGAGGATTTATTTCATATTTCTAACACTTCCCATACTGTTCAGTAGTGCAGATCGTCTTGGCACTCTGCAGTTCCGTTAAAGGTACATACAGTTTTTGGGGTAGTGCAATGTGTGGGGTAGTATGATGCAATTAAAACCTTGAATATAGAAGGGTAAATGTGAAGATCTGTTTCTGGATATCAAAAGAAAGAATGTGCTAAGTCAAAACCTGTTCAGAGGTTTCCTGTGCTTTTTGCTGTATATACCAACTAGATCAAACACAGCTGCATAATATCATGACTAAGCAAGCAGCATATTTAGTGCTTCAGAGAGCTTTCTACATAAAGGTTTTTGTAGGCTATTCATGGTCTATAGTACAATTACCTCCCAAGGAGAAAACAGAAGAGGGTGAAAGAAAAAAATTGTTCAAGATAGACTGCATGCCTAATCCGAGTGCAGCAAATCCAATGCATACATATTTGATAAGAGTAATTAAGCACTCTGGGATCTGTTTAGGCCCATTTTATCTACAATACAAAGCAGTTTACTGTAAAACCTGATCTAAGAGTTGTCTTACTTGTAAGCATCATCATCTTTTCTTTGGCTCATGCAACATACAACAAGCCACGTGTTCTGAATATGAGCGAAACAAAGAAAAATAAAGTTTGATATAAAATTTTCAATGTTGAGCTATTTGAGTGGGGGTGAGGATATTTTCAATAGAAAACCACATTTTTGAGATGGGAAGTCAAGTCTTTAAGAAAAAGTTCACAATTTGTTTTAAAAATTACGTTATTTTGGCTGAAAAAAAAACCTACAACAACTTTTATTTGCATATGATACTCTGATTTCAATGACTTCTTATCTTCTTTCATTGATGAGTGTTGCAGAGTGCATTTTGATACTTCTGTGTCCAGAAAGTTACATAATACATTTTACCTAAAATAAGAGGGAAAAGAAAGAAAACCAAACCATCTTTCTTTGAGAAAATTCAACATACTCTGGTTGGGTTGGTTGCAACTGTACTTTGCAGGGTACCTCAAGTTTGAGAGCAGCTGAGAATTCTCAATGTTGAAGATTGAGCTTAGAAAGTAGTTTGAAATGCATAGCAGCCACCATATCAAACCCCAGTGCGAGCATGGCTGTTAATACTCTTTGAAACGTTTTCAATACATTTTCAAAAAGTCAAACATCAGAAAATATATGTATATATCATGCAGTGAATAACGAGCAGCACTAATAAACTACTTTGCCAAAGCTTCTGTATGCAGCTCTTGAGTTGAAGTTGCTTGGTAAGCTTGGAGACACGTTTTTAAAAAGCTATACTGGGTAGGGAAGTATTACAAAGCTTTTAAGCTCGAGGAATTCATAAGTTTGTCCCTTGAATCTTTATTCTGGCAGCAGCCATTTACAACTGCCTTCTTTAGCCACAGGAAAGCCCATCTCTTGAACTGAAGAGGTAGGTGAAACGTATTCCCTCTAAAGGCAACATCTGTGTTTCCCTGTGAATCACCAGCCAGAAAGGGTGCTGTATATGCTAATCAGACTAGCTGCGTTAATGGTGAGGAATGATAATTACTTTCAGGTGGGAGTAGGTGTTGTCTGACACCTGGGGAAATAAAACAGAAGCCATCAATTATTGTAGGCATCTCCAAAGATATGCTGATATGAATTATCTTTGTTTCTGTTTAGCTGCTTGCCTGAATGTGTTTTGATTTACAATAAAATCAAATAAAACAATAAACATCAGTAAAGTTTTCTGTTAATTAGAATTAAATAATAATAAAAGCTTGGAAATCAGTGCACAGTGTTGCTACTGATTGGAAAGAAGATGCTGTATGTTGGAGTAATTGCAGTAAATGGCCAAAAAGGAAAAAAAAAAAAAGATTTTCAGCCACAAAGCTCCACACTTCGAACTTGTTTCTATCTCTGTCTGTTAATTGCTTTATTAATTTATTTATTTGCATTCTGTTGAAGCCTGATGTTTACCACCTAGGTAAGCACTTCTTTGTGCTGGGCATAGAGAAAATAATCCTCTTTCCTGAAAGACATCCTAAACCTCTGTGCCTCATTTGTGTAGTTAATAGAACCTTTTGTGTATCACTGCAATTACAGGTACAGCTTTTTCCAGCCCATCTCAGTTTTCATTTGAAATCGGCCCAGGCCACACACTGGGTTAATGGTAGATCCAAATTATCCCTGATGTCTTGTCTCTCTAGAGCTTTTTTTTTAAAAAAGGCAATCCTTTCAGCAGTGTTTGGGCACAGGCATTTTTTGCCTGAATTTAAGGAGAGGAATGTGCCTTCAGTACAGGATTCTTGGCTTAAGGTAAAAAAATATTCACGCATTAACATTCTTCAGGAAGTAACAAAGTTTTCTCATGGATTATAGATTTCTGCTCCGTTTTACTAGTTCCACATTGCTGAAGTCTTTGATGTTGGAGTGAAACCATAATGTTCATGCTGAATATTATACATCCCTCCAGAATTCTGAGATAAAGATGACTTACCAGGTGCTAGAAACTGATAAAGTTGATTTATTTTACAACTTTGTGTGGACACACCTGAATAGAAGATGGCTGGATTGAAAAAAACAAACTGCTTTGCGTGGTGCAGTGCGAAGGGTCTGAGCAAGACCTTGTCCTGGTAACGCAATGCTCTGTGAATGTTTTTCTGTGTTTCAATTTGAGTTTTAAGAATTGGTTTCAATAGTTTGTAAGCCACTGTTTGACTGCCAGAGTTTTGTACTTACCAAGATGGTAAGACTTAATTCCTGGTGATGGTGAGTTTTGCTCAAGCAAATGCTTGCTGGATGCTGTATGGGGATACATTCTGGCAGCGTGAGGGTATAGATATTTTAGATTGGATACTAAAAACAGCCATGATTGTGCTTTTTACCTCCAGCTGCCTGACAGACCATCCTGAGGCTGCCAGCTCCTGAATGTATCCCTGGCAATGTAGTGTTCAATGTCTGGTGCTTGAACAACATCAGTTATGTTTGTATGGCTTTGTGGCATGTGGATAGACAGTAAGTCAATGGTGGGACTTGGGTAGGAGAAATATTATGCTTTTTCACCATTGTGATTCAGAATCCTCTGCATGCCAAGTAATAGATGGGAATATAAAATATTGAATCTGCTCATCTTTTATGGCCTTGACAATAATAAAAGATCCCCTCTGTGTAAAGTTAGAGTGTTGAAATATATATTCAATATCTCCCATAAATTAGTTAGTGGGTTTTTGTAGATGTTGAATTCCAGTTTGAAAAAAATAGGGAGGAAAAAAAGGAATTACTTTTTGAACTTAAAAATTTATTCATCCAAGTAAATGTTACATCCACATATGCTTATGTAACTCGGATCAATAATGTAGCTAGTCTATTTCTAATATCAAAATGATAGAGTGAACACTTCTGAAGAATTGAAATGCTATTGATTTACGCAGTCAGTACAATTAAAATAAAGTAATTCAAACTCCTTAGGGTCTGTTGGTGCTGTTTCAAATGTGCCTCCTCTTGGGTGACAAGAAATGAAAGAACAACTGATTATGGATGTGATAGTCTGTGTACTCGTGTGCTGCTAAAAATCGGCTAAAACTTTTTGTTTTGAAACTGAATTGTTGAAAATGATAAAATGGTTGTGAGAGTTGCATTAGATTCCAGCAGAGATGGAGTCTCAAAGCAAATCATTACTTGCTTTTAGAAATGGGAAAATTTAGTACGGTTTATTTTGAATATTGGTAGCGGCCAAGATTTGAATGCAAGATTGTGCAGCCTCCCAACTTGTGCTGGGAACTGTAGCCTCAGATTCTGCGTTTTCTTTTACTCCACAACCATACTGGGTGACTTAATGGAAGCCATTTCCCAAACCTGTTCAGAAAGAAAGTAAACACCACATAGCAGCTGCAGAGATACTGGTCTTGTGCTGGAGAAGGAATGAATCTACTTTAATAAGAGTATTTGATGAATTAAGATCTTTCCAGAATGAGTGCCTGAAATGACTTATGACATACTTTGTTCCTCAAGATTTTGGAACTATGCAGTCTTCCCATTTTGGGTGTTTCTTAAATTATTTCATTGTAAGAGGAGCTCTTTCAGGAGAATTTATTTTATTCTTAACATTTGAAAATTATTTTATCTTAATTTGAAACTTGCCTTGAAATATGAAGTAAAATAAGCTCCTGAATGTGATGTCCTTGGAAATAAAAATCATTTACACAGAAGCTTGCAAACATGATGCCCTTGCTTGCAAGTTGTGCAGGAAGCTTACAATTCTTTTCCACTTGGTCTGTCTATTTTCACCAAATAAGCTTTTAGTTACAAAGGTCTATAGATAACTTGAACTTACGAACTTTGGACTTACCGTGCAGAGGTTACAGACTTCCCAACCCACCTAATATGCGTTCCCCCTTGTATGTGACCTGTTAGGCTTGCATGAGGCTTGCATGAGGCTTGCATGAGGCTTGCATGAGGCTTGCTCATGCAAGACTAACAGGTCACATACAAGGGGGAACGCATATTAGGTGGATTGGGAAGTCTGTAACCTCTAACTTCTTTGGCCAGTTATGAAAGGAGAAGGGACAACACATCAGGAAGAATAAAAAAGAGGCTGTGATTTCAGATGGATTGAGGGAAAATGTCTCCAGTTGAATCTCCCTTTGTTTGAATAAAGGGAGCTCTCTTTTGCCTCTTTTTGGGATTGTATGGATCTGTTGAGTCCCAGCCTGAATCACTGATTGCACAGCTGGGGAAAGGTCCTTGTCAGCCCTGAGAGCACAAAGCAAGGCAATTAAGCTGTGTGCCTGGAAGGGGCGGAGCCTGGCTGCACCTCTCCTAGACCCCGTTTAAGGGCTGACTGCTAGCATGAGGGGATCTCTTGTTGAAAATTCCTGCTCTGTGGAGCTTCTACAGTGAGCCTAGATCCTTGGACAGAGGTAAGTACTTCTTTCTTTTGTAACGTTTCCCATTGCGCTCGGCCCTTGGTTGTTACAGGGATTAAGAAAATTTACTAATTGACTCAGGGTAGCAATGTACTGGAACAGGTTGCCTAAGGAGGTTGTGGATGCCCAATTCCTGGAGGCGTTCAAGGCCAGGCTGGATGTGGCTCTGGGGTTGGTGACCCTGCACATGGCAGGGAGGTTAAACTAGATGATTGTGGTGGTCCTTTTCAACCTAGGCCATTCTATGAGTAAGCCTATTTGAGCAAAATTACTCAACTGGGTAGCAATAGAGAAAGGTAAGTTATCTTTTCCAAATATTAAGAGCAATGAGATATATAGCATGAAAGTGAGACTCCTTTGATAATAGAGCAGACATGTTTTCATCAAGTTTGGGTGTAGAAACTAAATACTTGAGCCACTGGCTGATTGGTTGAAATTAAATAAGAGCTAATAGTGCGTGGCACGGTACCTTTTGTATGGTAAGATGTAAAGTTTTACAACTACAAATCTGTGACTGTAGGGAGAAAAATAAAGGATTTGGGGGAGAGCTGTTTATATCCTCTTAGCACTCTACTAATCCATCCAGTTCCCCTTACCTGCCTAACCATTCATCTTTCTCTTTATCTCAAGGGCACTTAAGCTTTTGTTGTGATCCATATGGATAGCTGCAAACTCCTAAATTATCATTTGCACTAGAAGAGCTAGAGAAATCCATCAGTCTGCCAGGTCCTTACCTTCAGGCCTGAACCTGGGGTTTATTTTTTTTCAATGAACTGGAACTTTATTAATAATGCTCCGTTGCTTGCTCTGCATGTTAAGGTATCAGTAGGAAAAACAATTGTGTTTGTAAGATACGGAGACTTAAAAACCGAATGACAGGCAGGTTTTTTGGAAGTGGGCATCACTGCTTTACTATGAAAAATGTTCATAGGTTATAGAAAAGTAATTCAGGTTCAGATGTAATCTGTGAAGGGCCTATTAGTTTTGTGATTGCTGGGCCTATGGTAGGATTACACAGCGAAGCAGAGAGGCTGTATTTGTCAAAAATGACAGAACTTTTTAAGAAATCCATACTGTGGGAGCTATATGGGAATCAACCTAGTTTTCCATTAGTAGAGAAACAGATTTATTAAGCTTTCAAGGAAGTGCTTATGTTACAAGATAGGGTTGGGAAAGGTAGGCCAATAGGCCAAACTGAATAAGGGCAGAAACAACGTTTTCCTTTGTACTGAATGACAAAAGCTTTCTAAGCAAGCATGCGGATTCTTTGTCAGAGAATACCAGCACTTTGTGAGGTTAATTGGCAGCACTTATCGAAGACCCAAAAGAGAAGTAAAAAAGCTGAAGTTCAGAGGGCTTTGCTTGTGAGCAGGGGGAGATTCTTCAGTCACTTCGCAATGTGTGAACACAAAACTGAGTCACTTCGCAATGTCCTGCAACGTGAACACAGAACTGAGCAAATATGGCCCATGCAGCCACAGAGATAAGGCACTGAGCAGAGAGAAAGACTTACGTGAGCAAAGAAAGAGCAAGGGGAAGCTTGGTAGCTGGGTGGGTTGTCGTGTGACTGGGGAGGGCAAAGAGCCACCTGGAAGGGTTGAGGGAGGTGGTTTTCATTTCCTTTTATTCAACAGGCACTTATCCTGTAGTCTGAATTACCATCCCGGAGGGCAAAGTTGGAAGTTATTTCAGAAACTAAATAGAAAATCACTCAGCCATTATCAGCTGCTTCTCTCGGCTGTGTGAGTGTTTGAGGACATGGAGGGCATCATGGAGAGGGCAGGGACGTGGCACTGGGGCCTGCATTCTGTTAAGCTTTTTTGTGCATAGGGTATTTTTTTTGTTGTTACTCTTTTATTGCTTTTTTTTTTTTTTTTTTTTCCCCTCCACCAATGTTTCAAAATCTTTTTACTAAGTCCCTTGCCTCGTATAGGAGCTCCTGTTGTATTTGTTTTTGTCTGTTTGTTTTTGACACTGGACTTCAGAATCTTTGGTTGATGCCTCACAATAATCATTTCAGATTCCTGGAGAGACTGAAATACAGCAAATTTTGTTGAAAGATGGCTTCAAGGATCATAAAGTGATCCTTGAAGTAATCAACTCATAATTTCATGGAGTGAGTGTGTGCAGGCTAAAAATCGTTATCTGGATTGCAGAGACCATTAATAAAATGTTGGACATGGAGAGGCAAAACAAAGAGCAGATTCATGCCTTCAGGCTTGAGGGTGTCAGAGGAATTGTTGAAGATCCTCAGCCTGGAGGTTGCTGAGCTTGCTTGTAGGCTTTTCATCACTCTCGAGTTCCGGTAGGAGCATGGAGTGAAGTTTTTCGGGGAAGAAGTGGAGATTTCTAATGTTTGCAATTTAAACTGGGGAGATTTTGAATAAGAATAGTATGGCAAGAGTTGAAAATAATGAAATTTCTGATGGGTGAAAGCCATCTGAGTTTTGGTGTTTTAGAATCTTAGAATTCTTTTCTTTAGAGGCTAAGGATTAAAAATGGATTTATTGGAAACCTGTGCTGGTTGGTGGTTTGATTCAGCACAAATCATCCCGGGGCAAAAGTGAGAAGTTCATAGTACTTAACTCCTGCTTAAATCTTTATAACGCCCAGCAGTGAACTGTGACAGCACTATCTTCCTAGAGAAAAAAACAGGGTTGGGCCGAACTGACTCAGTAAATAATCCTTTTCACTGGGAAAAAGTTTAAGTTCTTTTGAGGTGGAAAGTGACATATGCAGTCTGACTTGTGTGGTGTTGTTTGGCTGAAGTTTTGTCATCTCCTCTTTATCATCTTACTACCCAGATAACAGAAAACTTTGTGCATGTATGTGTATATAAGCTTTTTCCTCTCCTCTCCTGAGAATAGCTGTAGTTATTTGGTGAAGAATGTGTGATGAATGTGCGTGATGAATGTACATAATGCTCTACCACAAACGGTAGTTGGTATACAGAATCATAGATAATCCGGTTATGCAATAACGTGAACATTCCAAACATATTATTAAATCTGTAGATACAGAAAATGTAAAGGCAGAAGGTGAAAGACAGGCGGAAGAAGGAACCACCAGTCAAAGTGTCTCAAATAGCTTCTTGGAGCTTAATGAGCAAACACCAACTTGTATGCAGAGCCAGCCAAATGTATCTCATCACTTAATTCAGACCTAAGCTGACACTATGTAGACCTGAGCCAGGATAAATTCTGCCCTGCAGGGTGACCTTCATATCTTTCACTCGAATTAAACTGCAGAAACTTGATTATCTGTTTTGCTGAAAAGTTAACTCCTCTTATGTTGCTGTTAAATGAAATAAAATTTTGCATTAATGCCTTTGCTAGAAGAGTCAAAACACATGAAACTGTTTACACAGGGTCTGCACACTGTTTGTCAGTTATGTCTCTATGGATAGCAAGGTTATTAAACATTGTCTTCTGGCTTAAAGAATGCTATGAAACTAAAACACAAACAGAAAGCACGCACACACTGTGCACACCTGATAAACTACAAAATGCAATCAGGCTTGCTTTTAGCCTTTGAGGAAAAAATTTGGTTTACTAAATAATAGATTAAAGATACTGCATTGGTCGATTTTTATCTCTGTAACATCCAGTTTAGCTGATAAAGAGCTGACGAGAATTCTGTAAGCCTATTTGTTTTCTTCAGAAATACACTAATTTGTAAAACAGCTTCTGTAATGTTCCTTTTCAAACGTTTTAGCAGTCATAAAGAGCACAGAAAAAGAAGTTGAGCTATCTTGTTGCATTGTTATTCCTCCAGCAAAAGGCCAGCAATTGCCATGTGTCCATGTGGATCTTGAAATGGGTTCTGAACACTGAAACCCTACTGGCATTGCTGTAAATTCAGCATCAAGTGTGTAATTTTCCTGTTTTTTAAAATCTCCAAGTAGCTTGCTTGTGTAGCAGAGCTTACAAAGGGTAACTGCAATCTCAAATTCAAAAATAGCTTCAGAGGATACCCAAATGGGTGCTGAGATGTTTGGAAAGAGGAAATGACAGTTGCTTATAGATGACAACAGTCTGGGAAACTTACAATTAATTATTTCCAATTATTATCTCAAGTTTAGATATGAAAATTTCCAATGCCATTTACTTCCTTTATCAAGACTCTGTCATGTTTGGCTTCATTTGTTGTTTCATTGAATAGTTGAAGGTGCATGGAAATAACTTGTGATGAGTTTAGAGAACTATGTGAAATCAGCAGACGTTTGTATAAGCAGTTCTGTTTTCCTCATTGCGTCATTACTGCCACGTGATGGATGGGTAGCTGAGATAGGAGGAAATTAGTGGTGGCTTTGGACAGAAAGGGTAACATCTGATGATTAACTTCTGTTGAAAGGCATTGAGATTTCTTCACTGAGTCTCATAATGCTCTTTGAATTACTGTCTATCTAAAACTATGATGCTTGAATGAAAGCTTTCTCCCAAAGCTTGTTAGTGTGGACTGAGAGTGGATGTTCATTCTGCTTTACAGAATCACAGAATGGCCAGGTTGGAAGGGACCTCAAGGATCATGAATCCCTGACCCCTTGCCACATGCAGGGCCACCAACCTCCCCATTTAATACCAGCCCAGGCTGCCCAGGGCCCCATCCAACCTGGCCTTGAACATCTCCAGGGATGGGGCATCCACAGCCCCTCTGGGCAGCTATTTCAACACCTCACCACTCTCATAGTTAAGAACTTCCCCCTGACATCTGACCTAAACCTTCCCTCCCTCAACTTCAAACCATTTCCCCTTGTCCTGCTGTTATCTGCCCTTTCCAAGAGTTGACTCCCCTCCTGTTTGTAGGCTCCCTTTAGGTACTGAAAGGCTGCAGTGAGGTCACCCCGCAGCCTTCTTTTCTCCAGGCTGAACAAGCCCAGCTCCCTCAGCCTGTCTTCATAGGGGAGGTGCTCCAGTCCCCTGATCATCTTTGTGGCTCCTCTGGACCCTCTGCAACAGCTCCCTGTCTTTCTTGTCCTGGGAGTTCCAACCCTG